GAGGGGGCGTTAATTAGCATCTCCATAGAAGAGCAAAAGATTCCTCGGATTTGAAAATAGGCACGGGTGCGCAGAGGTCCCTCAGAAGAACATACGGAAAACAGCTGTAGCTGTGGAATTTCTCTTAGCAGGGGAGACATGAAAACCTCTTCAAAAAAAGCTTTTTGAGCGCTAGCTCGACTTCAACAAAATCCAATAAAGTTTCCACATACAAAATATGTTACGCCATTACTGATACGTGCCACAAATGAGTAGCTTACTCATAGCCGCAAGTTGTGTAATTGCGCAAACTACGGCAAAGTCAGCGTACGCCGATGTCGATTGCTTTAGTGTGGAATATTGCTTAGATGTATTAGATGCTGTGGAACGCGAGTTAGATCGATCAGGTAAGATCGGGTACTAATCCCAAAAAGATTATTTGTACCAGTCCACATTAAGAATGCAAATTTTTCGAAAACCCCTGAAATAGAACATTATGACATTCAAGTGACTCAATAACTCCCCATTTTGCAGTGTCTGTAAAAAAAAACTCTTATCGCCCCGCTATCGAATTGCACGTCCACTAAACAGCGCCAGTGGGACTCATCGTGCTGTTTTGCTGCACTAAATACCAGGTACGATTTATTACCAGCACGTAGGATTTTCGCGGGAATTTGAAATTGAGATGTTTGCCGGTAACTTATTCTCTCCCCGAAATCCTTCAGCCCTTACAAAACCAACTGCCTATATCATGGAGCTCCCAAAATTTCATAGCATGGTGCTTCCATGGAAACCAAATTTCTTTTCAGCATAAAAAGAAGAAACACACATGCGAAAGATTTTGCAATTCAAATGAGGCTTCTGCAATCCTTCACACTGCTATTTCGGTTCATTGCAAAATAATGTAACCGCAAGAAATTACCAAGAAAACTAAGATTTGAGAGCGTTATGTTCGTTTGCAGTACCTATTCCTAGATAATCTTCAAATAAGGAAATAGCCGAATGAGTGCATGAAAAAAGGTGTAAACATGAGGATAATGGGCCGTGCACATTATTGAAGTGTACGCAAGCGTAAATGCAGATAAACGACGATGAAATGAGATGTGCGAAGGTCAGCGAAATCTAAATATAACCAGGAAGTATAATAGCACCGAAGAACATTTGCAGTGTGTAAATAGCTACAACTACAAGTGCAAAGCAAGAAACAACACAAATTTGCAAATGCGAACTTTGTGAAAAAAAAAAGCTGAGCAGAAAAGAGACGGGAGTGCAGTGAAAAACAAGCTCTATTCAGACTGCTGAGCGAGAGCTGTCGAGAACCTATAACTGATACTTGCAAAATCATTTACATATCGTGCGAGGAACAGCGCACCTGAGCCAAGCAGCGTCTACACAACTTATAACTGATAATAGTTTATCATCTCCCTTCAAACCTATACAGGTCCAATCCCCCCAACATCCGTATCAATTAGCATTGTTGCATCAATACCATCCACACCAATCCACACCATTCCATACCATAGCTGTTCTACCATACACCCATCACGCGCGAATCCCAACCCAAGCGCCTCAACAGCAGTACTGCTGGAGCACTACCATCCGCACCATTCCATACCAACCGCGGTACCCATCCAAAGCATTCCACATCAATCCCACCCTAGCGCTGCAGCACCACCATCCACACCAAGCCGCACCATTCCATACCAATAGCAGCACTACCTTCCCACCATTCCATACCGTTGTCATCCCTCGCACAACTGCAATACCGTTGCAACATTACCGCTGAAGCCAGTTCATATCAAGTTCTACATACGCTACATCTCCCACCACCAGCAAATTCACAGAAAATTGGAAAAAATATGAAGTGCGCGGTGTCTGAGAAAGGTCAATACTAGAAGACCACAACAATATGCAGCGGATTTACAAAATTTCAGAAAATTGTCAAAGATAGTCTTTCACGTTTCTAAACTTTTCATAATGCGAAAAATCTATATTAAATTCACCATATTTCCTTTTCTGTGCATATTTGCAGATGGTAAGATAGGCACAGATTTTTGCACGAAATTACACGCATTTTGCAGAGAAGGGAGCCAGCAAAAAAGAAGAAAGAGGCAAAAAAAATCGTTTGCACAGTCTTCTGCAGAGCACTCTATATGGCTGCTCAGGTTTCAAACTAAAATGTGGCGGAGTGCTGCAGAATTTTTTGTCGTGAAAACCAGGTGAATTTCTGCACATTCGTTTGCAGAACCTTGACAATATGATGATCTAACAGCCCACGTTCAAAAAAAAAATCTCTCAACAATAAGAGATTCCTGCAGAGAAATTCAGCAGTCTCGCATTGATTAGCAGGACTTGTCCATTATTCATTTCAGGGAGTACGAAAAACCTCCCCTGCAAAGAAAACCTGCTGCTATTGTCAACCACAGTATGCTCCGAAACTCATCCTAATAGCTTGTGTATAAAAATTAATAGTAGCAACTTCTAGAGAAGCGACGAACAAACAAAGACTTCGGAAGGGATTTGGGTAAGTAATTAGCCTCGAGATGCATCCGGTATAGGGTGTTTGATCGTGAAGATATGGAGTTAAGATATTCAGAGAATTTGTGCGGAATCACAAAGCAGTCCCTTAGTTTTTCCATGAAGCAAAAAATTAACAGTAGATGCGATCAAAGATAATGTCAGTAATCCAAATTGAAATACATTTCCTATCTCGTTAAATATAGATCGGCTCCAGGTTTTTAATTCGCGCAGAAAAAAAAAACACTGAGAGCTCTCTGGAACAGGCTCAGAGTACATGTGAACAAGCAATAAACACAATGATCTATGAGTAGTAACGTTAGAGGATAAATTAGTGGAATACAAACAACATTGAAGAAGAGACTCAGAAAATGTATGAGGAAATGAATAAATACAGCTGTGCCAATCTAAACAAGCACTGAGTCAAAAATCACTGCAGAAAACGAAGCAAAAAAATCGTTTACGACATATCTCTGCATTCCAGGAAGTCTCTTGCGCAACATAAACGCTTGGCACGAATAGATAGAAAAAAGCTTGACAACTGTTCCTTTTTGGAACAGCACGAAGCTGTAGCTGTTCAGGCTGCGGGAGCAGAAAATGAGTGAAGCGCGACCGGTTGAAAGCGCAAGAACTCGTTGTTTCGAAGAACTTTCAAAGAGCGCTCACAGATGTGGCAAAATTGAGAGAAAAATGAAATCACGTTTTGATGATATGAGCGAACTCGTCCAAAATCAAAAACGCCATTTATTCCGCTAGCAAAGAACTTGTCCAATAAAACATTAAATCGTGCAAAACGTGGAAACTGGCACCGTGCCAAGAATAGCAACGCAAACTGCAAAATATCACCTACAATCACCTTTACGATCCATCACTTTGGAACAAGAATTGTCAATATTTTTCTACCGCATCATAAAAATACAGTAAGATAGATGCAAAAGGGCCAAAAAAGTATACCAAATAAAATTATAGACAAATATGTGCAAAAATGCAGTATTATATGCTCGATTGTGCTTTTTTTTTTTCGAATATATGAGGCAAAGCACAGAGCCTTGATGCCAATTTCTACGGTAGGAAGAATTGTAAATGGCGTTTGAAGAGCTGTTTATGGCGTTTGCTGCCATGGAGCTGCCATTATAAACGAAATTTATTCCATTTCTATAATGGAAAAATAGAAGAATGAGAATCTCGTAATATGACTAGTCAGAATAATTCTACATTTGCGGAATATCCATGCAGAAAGCCATTTCTCCTTTCTGTTAGGAAAATTTCATTTGAAAATTTGAAAGAGGAGAATCCTTGCTCCTGCAAATGTATCCGACTTTATTTTAAATACTGTTCTACGTATCTTGCAGTTGCTAAGGGAGACATTATAACTAATTTGACGAACTAATGCAGAATTCCCTTGACAGTTCGAAAGAGTATCGTACTATTAGCTGATTGCACTACTTCAATAACAACACCTAGAGCAAAAATAATGAAAGCTGACATTCTCGGAGAGATAATCTACCGTAATCTCTTGAACATTGTTTGACTTTCGCGGTAAAAAATTGTTTTGCACGGACAACTTTTTACCAGACAAGTGATAGAAGAGCGGTGGAGAGGTGTTTGCAGTACAGAGGACGCCGTGTAGAAAGGAAATTTTGCAGAAAATTTTCGTACTTTTTGCAACGTTGCGGTTTTTACGACGTGATTTATGACTTCGGCAGTTTTTTACACCCTTCCCCCTTCCACACACAGAGCGGAGCTTTGCTCCGATCGCGACGCCAATTAACTAGCCTCATTTGCATTTCCTGCCCCTCCGGACGTGCTACTAGAAATACACACACGCGCGCGCGTATCCTCACACACCACTACCCAAACACATACTCGCATATTCATAGAGAATAAATTAAGCAGCCTTCTTGGGACTGTTTATAGCACGCGCAGAACCTAGGAAAAGGTGCACATGGCAATTTTTTGCGATGTTACAACGGCTTTTGAGCGCGGGCAGCAGTGTCAGCACCCCCTACCACAGCCGATACAGCCTGTAACACACAATACAAAGGGCAGCCAGCAGCTATTCGCATGTATCAATGACAGCAATGGAAGTTTCTCGTGATCAATCGATACACATGACAAACACATGCGTGATAAGCCAAGAGTCGAGTGTCGATGAAAAACTGGGAATAGTTCGACGACGACTGCAGTTGCACAGTTGGAAAATTGCATGGAAAATCGAAAACCGCAGGTTATATTGGGAAATTCGTTTCAATTCTTGTAAAACAGGAATTCTCAGAGATGGAAAGCTGAGAAAATGACTCCAGACTGGATTCTCTTAGGGAAAATATGACTCACGAGGAAGTAATAATGAAAGGGTTTTGAAGGTATTAAAATGCAAAGGAATTGTTATAGCTGAATCAGAGAAATGCATGGAAAGGAAGGCAAAACTACACAGAAATGCAAAAAAAATCTCGACCAGAAAAAACAAATGACTTCATGAGAAGTGCAAATTCGATAACACTCACCATTTGTTTCCATCGAAACTTTTCGCAGCCATTGTTTAATAGTTTCGCGAGTACGTGGACCTTCCTCATCGAACGGAAACTGCGGCGTATTTATCTGCCATTCCCGCTTGAAAGTCGCACTTTTTTCCGTGAAGTAGTTTTTGATAGCATAGAGCGAAAAATAACAGTGAGATGAACCGGCTTCTGTGTTTTCCAGATCTTTTGGCGATTTGTTCACGGCACGCTTCTTATCATGATAGAGAAACAACATTTTCAAATAATTCAGGCTGTGAGTAGACGAGTTTGTGGGTCCATCGCTCGAATCTTGATAGGCAATCAGTTGGTACATAGCTACAGCCATTTGACGATAGGAACCTTGCATACGAGTCAGGAATGGGTAGGATTTCTTTGCACTCAGCGCTGAAGGCATACCGGCCGTGGTAAGCACAGGAACTCCCCCATTCAAGCCTGCCGAGACTTTTGTGACGGTGGCCAGGCCATAGCTGTCGGAGAAGCCAAGTACGGCATCGAGGCGATGTTCACAGTAAGCTTGGACCATTCCGACAGTCGCATAGCGTTCGGCTAGAGCGGGATCTTCCCAGTACCGGTCGTCCCAATAGGTCAGATTTATCCATCCAGGCGGCATCCGGCCTGACTGGACCACATCCTGCACGGCTATGTCTATGACTGGCCTGGCCTTTTCGATGGTGAGGCCGTAATTGTCATCACCCGATTCCTTAGCCGGTAATATCACCAAGACGTTGTAGGGAAGATTATGCCCGCGTGTGCCGACAATCGCAGACTTCGGCAGAATCTCCTGGGCGATCACCTCATACAATACACTGCTGGACAGTAACACTGCAGTAATAATAGTAGAGAAAGTCGAAGAACATCGTGAAAATCGGAAAATCCTCGTAGATGAGTGAGTTTTGAGTGATGCCAAGCTAGGCATAGCCTCATATGGACATTTAGAGACCACGGCGGGGGCGATCCACGGGGGTCTAAACAGTTCGGACCAAGATGATCAGGTACACACACGCGTACTCAATGGCACACACACACTCGGGGGACACACAGCAACAGCAGCCACCGACGGGGGGAGACACCACGGTGTGCCTGCGTCGCTGACATGGGCGGTCACCCCGTGGTAGCGTTAGGTGTGTGTCTGCTATGTCTGCACTCTCGCCACCCGCGCTTTCACCCCCCGTGTTATATACTGCGGGGCATAGGTACGCACATACACACATCTATCTATACACGCTCAGATACACAATGCACCGTATGACCGGTGGTGAATCACTGATTATCAGTCCGATACACCAATAAGCACGTGAGCGTGACAACTCGTCCCCGATGTTCGCTCAGAGATCACATCGAAATGGACGACTGACCGTGAACGCGCATCGTCCAGCAAAGGGTAAGCCGATCATCGAGAATACTGCGATCAGAGATGGAAAAATGAAACAGGATAGAGGAAAACCATTGTATAAACAATGCCGCCGCGATGTGTAAATATAATCGGAGCTTTGGAAGACGGCTTGTTTGGTCCGGCAACGATCTATGATGTAGATGTGTATCCTTAGGCGTGATAGGAGAATGACTAATGAGGTCATGTGCATTGAATTCATCACAGAGAATTGCGAAAGTCGGTGTTTTGGTGGTTCAAAAAAGGCTCCTAAACGGCAGTACGAGGTTAAATTCTCTAAGCCGGGCCCTACAGACAACAAACTGATACTTGCTGATGAAGATACTTTAGACTCATGACATAAACTTATTCATTTAGTAAAATTTTTGAAGATGAAAATATACTACATCACAAGTAATGCGTATGCACACCATAAAATGATTTAGAAAATGAAAAATTATAAATGGAGTTGCAGAAACAAGTTTTGACGCTTTTTCTTGGAAGTGACAGTTATGATTACTGTCAAGACACCGATCATACTTGATAAGGCATTATCATAAGCGAAATGAGCGTTGAAAAGTTTCAAAAAAGCTTAGGAACTATATTTAGTTCACAACTCGTTTTTGTTTTGAATGAGCTTACCTCCTAATTGCTATTTTCTCTAACTCTGCTATACAGACGGTCGATTCTGGTCTGCTTCATCGAATATGGCGCTATTGAATAAATTCATAGGCTCATGTAAGAAACTCTCAAAGAAAAACATTTCTGCTGTAAATTTCAGCTGAGGAGGAGGGTTAGGCATTCAGTACTTGGACCACATCTTCTGATTCAAGATCAAGGATTCCCTTACATAGTCAGCTCATCTTATCATCACAATGAAGTGGCTACCGTAAAGGAATCCTGCGTTATGCGGAGCATTTCCCCCCCCCCCCCCCCCAATAATAGAAAAGTAACACTTCAGCGTTACGATCTGAGCCTATTGAATCACCAATTTACGTAGACAATTTAAGAATTCTCTTCTCCTGTCATTCTATTACGTAATCAGAGGGCTGCACTATTACGTCAGAAGTTGGAACCAGTATAGCCATTTACAAAAATATACCGGGTTGGTTATCGAAGTCGCCTAGTCATTGATTATAATTTTTATGTCATTCATATTTCAGTCGTTTACATTTGGCCATACGGCATAGGATAATTCATTGTACCTATATACCATAAGTCCATAGTAGTTCAAGTTCATGTAAATATGCCTAGAGATTTATTATGCATCGATTAACAAGGGAATTTCAAGTACAAACATCTCATATCCCTTCTCAAAGACTATTTCAATAGTCTCATGAATCTTTTCTATAGTGCATCCTCGGCACTCGCAGATCTCTATTAGATATCTACGTAATTACGCATATCCCACAATTTCCCGTGAATTCGAACGCATGACACCAGAACGTCCATAGACAAATACAAATTTGTTTCCTACTAGCAATCACGCCATGAGTAACTCTCGTGACTCTCATTGTTAAATCATCTGGTGAAATCTATGCAATTTCCGCTACATCTAGTAAATTGCTATCTAAATAACAATGTTCAATGACGCTAACGGGAAATATAGAAAAACAAACAATTTTTACGAGCGCTAATCTTCACGATACCAGGGACCAGGGCCTGGCACCAGCTGGCACGGGGCAAGCTGGATATCGTTTTTGGGGCAAAAAGCAAAGGGGGTTTCGTTTTTGTGGGCGAAGACATACGCAAAATTGGCGGCGACGACCTTTTTTTTTTTTTTTTTTTTTTTTAGTCGACGTTTCGTTTTTTGGGGGATTTTGGGGATTTTTTTAGTATTTTAGAGGGGATATCGTTGAGGATCAAAGGGGACTTCGTAAAATTTCTCAAAAGTCAAGGGGGACTTCGTAAAAATTGGCAAATTTCAAAGGGGACTTCGTTTTCAAAATTCCCTGGTGCCAGCTCGTGCCGAGCCCTGCCAGGGACATTTTCGTTAGCGCGATTGCAACGTAAGCAAGTGTGTAATTGCGTTTTTGATTTGTAAAACCAAGAACTAGAGGAAGATAAAATATTCTAGTAAAGTCTGCGTTGTTGATGTGATCCAATTTGCGACTGCAAATGATGAGTCAAATTATCGGATTCAAAGTGAACCGACCGATATCAATCTAATTGCTTCATTTTTTCAGCGAAGATACTGCTCAGGTTACCCTATTCTCGAAAACTAAGGTTTGATTAAAACTACCTCGGAGTTTAATGATGTAAATATGTGATGCGCTGTGCATCATGCGGAAAGACAAGTAATGCCTTAAGCATCTGATGAGTTGGCAAATTGGCATCACGGTATCAAAAAAAGCAGCCGCATAATCACTCCGCCTCCGCCCCGTCTTTCATTCTCTTACCATACAATCGAACTTTCATATATGGAGGCGAAGAGTGGGTGCTATGAAGGGAAAGGGGTAGGACAGGGTCGATGATTCTAAAAAGAGACCTCGCAGGTTAGTCACAAGAATCGTGTGGCTTACAACGATACTCGGTGTCTGTGGCCTTTTGAGATGAAACGTATACCATCACACTCGTCTTGGAACGCTGGTTCCTAATCTGACTTCCGTTTTTGCTAATCGTTTCTCTAGAAGAAGTTATGAAGGATTTTCGCGCCAATGGTCGCCCAAGAGAAATACGGTCGAGGATGCCTAACTTTCAAAAGAAGCTTGATTGAGGCAATGCAAACTGAAAATCGCAAAAGGACTTGAACTACCTGCATTAGCTTTTGAGGCTATCCTACTAGCCACTACAAGGCATCGTAGAGGGGATTTTGGCATTCCGAACATGTTTCCTTTGGCGTGAAAATCCTTCATAACTTTTTTAAGGGAAACGACTAGCAAAAACGGAAGTCAGACTCGAAATCAGCGCTCCAAGACGAATGTGAGGTTTACATCTCATCTCAAAAGGCCACCTACACCGCGTATCGTTTCCTTGTTACCAATTTTGAGTTTTCCAAAAAAAGAACTTCTTGATTGTATAAGATTCAAAATTTGTTTGCACAAATCAATTACAATATTCGCTTATGTGCAGCTGCGAGCCTTGGGGGAAACAAAAGCGCAGCACTTTTGCTGCGCTTCGATTCCTTCTTCTATTCAAAAGTATGATTAGCCGACAGTGTTTGCTACACTTACAAAATTGCACGCTAAAGTGTGGTAGAGCGTGTAATTTTCATCGAAATGGAGCTAAGAATATCAAGTTCACCCTCTATTGTAAAGTGCATGACCAAAGTTTCTGTGACATTCATTTAATGCAGCTCAACCATAATTCTCTTGTCTCTGATCACAGTAATTACTGACGCTCGCCTATCCACTTCTATCCCCTCACTGATTTTGTAAGGTCAAAGCAAATAAAGTGCAATAGCTTCGTAACTGAGTGCTAGTACAAGGACATTTTCAATAGGGAGACGTAGCAATGTAATTCGCAATCACTGAGCCGATTATGGGGATGCTGAAAGAAAAAGCATTTTCTGCGGCTTTGGGAGAATTCTCGGGTTCGCCGCCTTTGAGGGTGGATTTCAAGAAAAATGAAAAAAAAACACTTTAGAGCATCTGGTGTCTTGCTAACTATTCAGCAACTGCAACATATCCATCATCTTTCTAGGAATTTCCAAAATTCATACTAATCCGAAGTGAAAACTGCTTGGTTTTTTGTGCAGCCTTCTTTTTTCCGTGATCTTTCCCTTCATTCTGCCAGACATCCAAGTGTTTCCGGTGTACGGTTTTTTTCCAGAGACTTTTGTTCTGTAGATTATGTGAGCAGGCGTTTTTGAAGTATCTGCAGTCCCAGCTTTATAAGACCTCAATTTCCGTTTTGGATGTATGAGTTGATGCTCACTTTAATAAGTTCAGCAGTAGCTTCGCGATTAGTAATAAGTTGATTGCGCATGAAAGAGTATTCAATTTTGAATGGCAGCAAAAATCAAAAGCGATAAATTCAAAAATGGAAAACTCTTACGTAATTCTCAGCACTTGTCGCAACCTAATCTTCTCTTTTCTTGTGTCAACAAATACACTGGGAAAGGCTAGAAGGAGGTATTCCCCTAAATCTACCAAACACTCATATGATCGTATTTCTTTGGATCCTTGGAGCGCCAAGAGTAGATCTTTGGCTAAAGATTCTAACCCAGACAGAAATGATCCAAGTTCCTAGCGCAAGAAAATCGTTTAGAGAGTAGATCAAAGGCCAATAAATTACGCTTTCGGATCATAATTGGATCCCGACGAAAAGCGCGCCTTTTATATGTGGGGGTGAAAGACCAAGCCGAGAGTTTCTCTCCCACGTTTGCACATCGACGTGTAACCCCCCCCCCCTTCCTTTGCAATTCCGCGTTCCTTACCGATGAACAAGATTCTATAATGCAATTAGTTGTTTTGTTCCTTACTACAGTGAAATAACGAGTGAATCGGAAACGATGGGATTGAAGTTCCGGCGTTGGTATAAACAGTGAAAGTGGACCTTAGTGACTGTTTTTACAGATAGAAAGGGACTGATTGCAAAACCTTCGAGAGGAACGGCGCAATCTTTGGTCCAATATGTTCTAACCGCTATTTATCCCTGATTTAGCTGCGTTCATGGGGCAAGGATTTGCAAATCAGCAGATAGACGACGCTCAACCGACTGTTGGGTATTTACAAACCGAACAAATTTCGAGGAAAATGGGGAATATCCCCTAGTGACAAAGGAAAATAGACTCGTCGATCCAAAAATTATATTGAATCGACCTTTAGTT